CAATAGCATTAAATATTATAATTTTAATTAAAAAAATTATTATTTATTACACCCTCTTATATCATTGCACAATTAGCTAGTTATATTATTTTTAGAATATGTTTGATTTTTTTTTTAAGAATTTTTTATTTTTTTTAAAATATAGTATAAAACAGAAATTAAACATAGTCGGAGTTCTCATTCTTGGAATATTAATTCAGTATTAATTCTTAAACTCTGAACACCAGCTATCGATTCTAATTAACTAAACTGGAATCTTGACGAAAATCATTGAACACTGACCAAGTTTCTTATGGGTTAAGCATAGCACGCTTTTCTATTGGTACGTAAACACAAAGCGCAGCTCCCTTTGGCATTCAATTTATTAACCTTGAAAATGTGAAAGAAAAAGACATGATTTGTTGGAGAGGTCCACACACATAAAGAGAGACTTCAAACGAAAAGGAAAATAATTCATACGTGAGTGATCAGTACAGTGTTTATTAACAAAATTATTAAAAAAATTAAGATAACTCTAAATAATGCTAGGCCTACGTTGTCTTTATATTATTATTTTATATATTTTGAGTTTTCAGGAAATAATTTTACACTTGATTTAACATTTAAGTATGTTAGATATAAATTAAATAAAAGACTTAAATTGAGTATAAAATATAATATAAAAAAATCACACACGAAAGCAATTAATGTTTAGATGCATTGTTATATAAACTATAAAAAAGAGGTGATGCTAATATAAGACACTCGTTTAAAGGACATTACACCCACAAAAGGGCTACTTCTATTGCTGCTGTCTTAAGCAAAGAGATTCAAATATGTAAATGGGCAAGTTGAACTTTTACTTTCTTTTTAATTTTCTAACAAGGGAGTGAATCTTCCAAAATCTGATTTACAGTGTTGAAAAGGTAAACTCTTTAAATCAACATCTTCTTGGTGAAGGAAAGGACCAATCCTTTTTTTTAAGGGGGTACAGGAAAGTTCCAGTATACTATCATAGTTGACTACGTGCATGTTTGATCTATCGTGATTTTGTTTTTCAGTGAGAAACACAACTGGTGGTTTTCCTTTCTTTTGTTTATTGGATCTAATTATCTGGAAACTTTTTAGATAACAAACTAAAAATTAACAAGCCGAACTAATCTTTCTAAAGAAAACTATTAAATAAAAAAAAACCATTAAAAAAACAAAAAAAGCTTCACCTTTTGAAAGACTTGCTGACATAAAGTAACAAGTCTGAGTCATCTATCCATCAATAACTCAAATTCACAAATAAAAAGGAGGAAGACAAAAGAACTATATCATATCATCATACTAAATTTATATATATGGCAAATCCACTAAGGAGACTTTAAATATTGTAAGTTTATAATGAAATTAAAAGGAAAAGCAAGTCAAGATATACAAGTTAACGGGTGTTTGAAAATGCATTCAAAAATTTATAAACAATCTATCAGTATTTAACGTCAAATTAATTGTTCATGACTATTTAAAAATTGCAAGCCCTAGTGAAAAAAAAAACCTCAAAGTTCAGTCATTTCTATCGGGCAGCTAGCTAGCTAGTGATGCTCAGAATCATCACATGCAAGACTTTCCTATAAACTTAAGAATAATAATACAGAAACAATAAAATTTTCAATATTTTTCTTTTAAATTATGATTTTTATATAAAAATATATTATAAGAATATCGTTAACGTAACCTCCCTTGCATAGATTCTTCAGTTAGAAAAATAAATCAACAATAATAAAATAAAAATATAAAATGGGCTGACTAATAAAATTAGGATCGAATTATTCTTACACTTTAATTATGATAATACATAATAACTATCTGTGTAATAAGGTTGTCTGTTTCTTACGTGCATGACGGGCGCTGAGTCAGTGTTTCGTCCTCCTTTAAATAGAGGAAGAAAAAGGTTGCAGGATTTATAATATGTGCTTTTTTAAGGAATAATACTAATTTTTTGTTAATAAATAAATAAAATTTTATTAATTAGAATATATATACTCTATTGATATACAAGATCCTATTAGAGATTATTTGGAGTACTATAAAATAAAAGCACATTTTTTACTGTGATTTAGATGATAATGATATCATAAATGTTATTTTAAAATGCGATTTGAGATTATTTGAAGTGCTCAATCACACAACATACAATAGTACATTTAGTTTAGGGTATATCCGGAATTAGAATACAAAAATGGATTCAATTTTAAACATAAAAATCGAAAATCAAGTTAAACTACAATTTTTCAATTTTAGAATGTTTTAATGAATGATTTGTTCAATTTTGTTTATCAATTTAATTAGCAATTTGAATCCGTTCTAGAGCACCCTTCATGCAAATGCTTCACTTGAAAGTCTACTAATATAGCTCCCTTGTTTTTCGTTGGGAATAAGAAGTTTGCTGAATAAATAATCTCTACGATGCCTATCCATTGGTTCAAAGTCGATAATCTTGAACTTCATTTACTCACTGTGCTAGAGTGGAACCATTAACATGAGTGTCAAAGATGGCATTTACACTTTGATAATTTTTTATAAAATATTAAATTAATTTAACATTTACATTATTTAATAATTTTATATAAAATATAATATTAATTATTTTAATTATTAAATTGAAATTTTGTATCATGTTAATTAATTTTATATAATTTTTATAAAAACAAAATAAATAAATATTTTATCAAATTATTTTATTTTAACATATTTAAAATATAAATAAATATTAAATTTTTAAATTATATAAAATTTGATATAAATAATAATAATAATAATAATAATGAAAATAATATAAGATAATTTAACGTTTGAATCAGTTAATCTTACTTTCTACACCTAAGAAAAACTCGTAGCTCAATGTACTAACCTGTATACGAGTTTTGATTTAGTTAACGACCTTTTTCTTTGCTTTTAATTTATATATATTTATTACCAGTTGTTGGCACCTATGAAATCGAAAGTTATTCAATCAAAGTATACAATAAACAATACATATAGATATACTTTCGTATCAAAGATCATTATTCTTTATTTAAATACGAGTTTGTATAGATTCAGGAGTAATTATAACTTTTTAATTTTAATATAAATCTTCAATTAAAATAAAATAAAATAACAAATAATTTAATTTTAAATTTGTAAACTGAATTTTTAATACAATTTTAATCTTAAAAAATTGCATTAAATTATTATCACGGTAACTTATAATAATTATTATTATTGTAAGGTTTTTGTATTATTAATTATTACAATAATTAATCAACTGTTTTTATCATTATTACTTCTATCATTATTAATTATCACTGTTGTGACGATTACTTTAAATATGGATTGAATTTATTATATAATTATCATAGTCATTAATATTTATTATTATTACTGAGGATCAGGGTCATATATCTTTGAATGAACTTGTAATTTGTGTAGTTTGAACTTAAAATTTGGTACTAAAATTTAAAATTATAAAAAAATTGTAAAATTGAAAATTTATTTAATTGTTTTAAGAAGGATTGAACGGGTTCATATTGATGTTTTTGTGATCGATTGTGAATTATTTGCATATGTATATTATTACAAGTCACTGTGGCTACGTGTCTTTCCCTCTTTCAAACCTTGAATAAAAATACAAAAACCTTAATGAATAAGAAAGAAAGTAATTTAAGTTGTTTCATTCAGAAATTTTGACGATATATTCTGGATACATAGTGAATGAATGTGATATTTTGTGAACCAAAGGGCCACCCCAAAGAAGAAGAAAAAACTACACCACCCATTTTAACAAGGGTAGTTGTGTTCATGTCAAACCAACTTAATGCAAACTGTAAAAGCTAAATAAAAAATGGAACATAGTGAAAATTAACAAAAAATTATTGAATGAACTTTTGTATTAAAAATATTAAAATTGAATTATGAATTCCCTAAATGGAGATAGTAAGAAGAATAAGTAAATATATTAAGTAAAATATAGAGAATAACTCAACCTTTACATCGAAATTATTATTATTATTTTCTAATCAACGTCGGAATTATTTTAAAGCATGTCTGATAACACATATTAATAGCAGCAAGTTTGCTAACTAGTTATAAAAATAAAAATATACTCTTTTAATTTTAATTTTTAATCCACGGCTAAATTTTAATCTAAACTAACAGTAAAATCTTAATTACCAGTATCAAACTCAGCCTTATTAAGGATAGCATCCTCTCTAAGACAGCCATAAAAATCATAAAGCATACTTGTACATGCATTTCTGGTATTTTTACTTTTATTTTATGAAACCTGCTGTTATTACTTCTGGATTGGGAAAGCGTGACTCAACATGACGTCTCACAAGCTCCAACAACCCGACTTGAAAATAGTCAATAACCTGTGCAATATTAGATGAACACACTTCAAACTAGTGTTTAGTTCTTAAACGCTATTTCAATTAATGATCTTTTAATCCTTGTTAAGACATAATTGGTGAGGCCATAGAATCTGAGCCTGTGAGGTGACACAATTTAAGTGCTACAAACACGCAATGAACTTTTTCTTTTTTAACAAAAATCAAGGTATACAGATAGGAAAAAAAATGATAGAATTCGATCATTTCAAATATATATGATAAACTAAAAAGATAATTAAGAATTACTTATCTATTCAAAAGAAATTTTCTAGCTACATATAAGTTTATAAAAACTAGGTCACTTTTTCATACAAAAGGTGAGGTATAGCAAAAGGCAAATTAAAATATCTATCAAGACCCTGGTAAAGAAAAGAAAATTCGTTTAATTAATTGTCAAACATCAAACTTAGTCTGTTAAGTATTGTCCCCTTTTCACAAAGACAATGTTAGCTTTTTCTCTCACTTTCTCAGTTCATATAAATATAAATACCAATTTAATTCATTCATGTGCCCGTACCCTAAGCTCACATTGAATTGGTCTAGTGTCCAAAGCCAGCTCGCATTTTTCTTTCTTTCTTTTTTTCTTTGGTGGTTGAATTGAAACAAATGGAAAAGTTGAATTTTGTTAAAAATGGAGTAAGCAAATTGCCTCCTGGGTTTCGTTTCCAGCCAACAGATGAAGAGGTTGTCTTTCAATACTTGAAATGTAAAGTCTTCTCATACCCCTTGCCTGCTTCTATCATTCCTGAGATCAATGTCTCCAAGTATGACCCATGGGATATACCAGGTAATTAATCACTACCACTATTCTCAAACTGAATCCATCATCATTTTTTGAATTTGAATAAAGTAATATTCATGCATAAAAGAGATAGATAGAAAGAGAATCGGTTTTATTAACCTTAATTTTTAAGGTTGATTTTAAATATATAAGAGTAGAATTTTTCTATAAATAATAATATTATTCTTTTATATTTTTAATATAATAAATATTTTTAAATAAAAAATATTAATTTTAGTTTATTAAAATTAATATTAAGAGTTAATGTTATCCTTCTTTTATGAAAAAAAAAGTGCACACATTGATTATGTATATAAAAGATTTCTAGCTTAAATCTTATGTAGACAATTACCTAACATTGCAATAATAATTATTATACAATTCAGCAAAGTAAGTCGTTAACATTGTTCTGCAGCTTAATGTGCTAAATATGTGTGTTTAGGGAATTGTGATGAGCAAGAGAGGTACTTTTTTAGCTCCAAGGAAGCTAAGTATCGAAATGGCAATCGTATGAACCGATCAACCAAGTGTGGATATTGGAAGGCAACAGGATCAGACAAAAAAATAACATCTTCAATGTGTAATGGTATTGTGGGTATAAGAAAAACCCTTATTTTTTATGAAGGGAAATCTCCAAGAGGATCCAGAACTGGTTGGGTCTTACACGAATATCGCCTCGTCGGTGTAGAAACTAGTGCTTGCAATTCATCACAGGTAAGCTCAGTCGATTATTTTAATATAAATATCAAGATTTAACTACTTTAAAATAATAAAATATAAAATGATAATTATTGATTGAAAATTTCTTATTTAAAATTTTAATAATTTCATAATTTATAATTTATCAACTATTAATGTTTTTAATGAATTCTTATTTCTCAACATTTGAAATTAAAGCATCTCACACCTTAAAAAAGTTAAATCTAAAAAGTTATATATTAAAGTAAAATAGAGTGTTGGATTGGCAAATATATCATTAATGTTGTTGGGTTGGCAGAACTACATAAACGAGATTGGAGATTGGGTTTTGTGTCGCTTATTGATGAAGAAAAGAAGTATAGAAAGTGATGTCAGCACCACTCATCACAAGCATAGGCATAATATAGTTCAAGCTAGTCCAAGATTGTTTGATTTTATGATGGTTGGCAAGACCCATTCTTCTACATCCTCATCATGTTCAAGTTCCAGTAACATCATGGAGGTCTCTTCAAATGCTGACCATGAAGAAACAAGTGGCTATGCTGATTTTTAGGAAATCATTTATTTACAAATTTGCCCGTGTCTGTGGGAAACTAGGAAAATGGATCACATGCCTGAGGATACACCCACATTAATTTGTTCCTTCCGATAGAACGATCATTATGTATAATGGATGTATTAGATGCTTGTTTCCTATCATAATCTTGTATTATGCTAATTATTTCCTATCATAACCCATGTTTTTAATTAGTAATTGTTTCAATGAACTCCATGTGGGAGTGATTATAAGACTAGAACTAAGTCTAATTCATCTATCTTTTGTTAAACCTGATACTAAAGTAAAATTAATCATTGATCAAGTGGTATTTTCCGTTTTCCCTCAAAATATATGATTATGGGGAGAGGAAGCAAAATCGTAAAGGCCAGCATGCGAAGATGCCTAGGTCAAGGAGGACTATAACAAGAGACGAACAACCAAATTTTCCTTTGAAAGGAACTTTCTTCCAAATGTCAGATGCCCTTTAGAAGATAATATTTTCAACTTGATGAATTTGGAAATTTGACAAAATTGATACCTTTTTTTTTTTTCACATAACGATCGATTTGGACTTCTTCTACAAACATTTTAATATCATATGTTTGTATCATTTCAATTTCCATTCCATTCTAAATTTTCAAGTATTTAACTTTTTATATTTTCTCTCAATTGAGAATAAAAGACTAATCACTTTAAAGGTATAGAACAAAGAATTAACCTTTCTCAACAATTATCTAAATTTTGAATTAAATTTTCTATAATTCATAATATAAGAAAAGATGGAATAAAATATATTATATATAAAAAACATTGAAGTAGTACCTATTGATGAAAAGATAACTAAAAATCAATAAAAAAAAAGGGTGAATAATATGATTTTTACTTTAGTGAAAAAGAGACAAAAAAGACTTAAAAGAATTTTGAAAGAAAAAATTTTAAAAAATATATTATAAATACTATATTAAAATAATTATTTATTTTTATTGAGATTAATAATGTTATACAATTCATGTGGCTAATTTCACTTCATGAGATAAAATTTAATAGTTGTTGTATATTTTTTTATTTTACATATTCTTATAAAAAATAAAATTTCATTTATTTAAGATAAAGGAACAAAAATATTTTTTTTTAAAAAAAGTAAGAATTATATTATCTATGATAATTCAACTGAGAAGATGGATGGCATAAAATCCAAAGTTGGCCCTAAATTTTAGGATCTTAATGGGCAATGAAGATATGCCTCTCTTTCATTGCCGAATTTCATGTGAATTTTTCTATTATGTGATGGGTGTGTCAATTGTCATTCCCATAATAGGGTGCCGTATCATTCATTACTTATTATGCATGTGGAAACAAAAAAGAAAATAAAAAATGGAAAAACAGTATCTTTAGAATGTGTTCTATCTAGAATCTCATTCAATAGACGAAAACTAACAAATTAACAGCATTTGTCCGCTAAATCACCATATAGAGTTAGATGTGTTAGCTGGCACAATGCACTTTGAGGCTCTGCATTCTCGTCCCACAATATTCCAACCTGTCTTGTTATTCCTCGTCCTATGTTCACGGTTTCCTAGTTCCAACGATCAAAGAAAGTTTTAGTTACAGCATCTGAGAGCACATTAGTTAAATTAGTTTTTAAAATAGAAAAATCTAACGGATTATTTTTTTTATATATGATTTTTATAAATTATATATATAAAAATACGATGTTTTTTGAAAAATTATAAAAATATAGAATTTAAAAAATAATAATTTTTTATGTAAGTACAAAAATTTTAAAATAAAAAATTTAAAAAGTGATAAAATCTTATAAGTCATTAACTGTGATTAAAAAAAAACCTAAAAACGTGTTATAAGTGAGAAGGACTCCACTTATACACGTCTTCACTGTACTCACAAATGCAGGACCCACACATAAAATCAAAGAACACACACAGTACTCACTCACAGGGATTCAATTCATGAAAATTCAATATTATTTTTTCATATATAAAATTGTGATTACAAAGGATATTTATAGAAGTACTTAGGGACTTCTAGCAATTAGTTTGACAATCTTCCCTCTATAATTCTCAACTAACAACTATTAACTCTTTTATTACAACACATATCTTTTTATTATTTATAACAGTTTCCCTCCTTCGGAAAATGCCTTGTCCTCAAGGCATGCGACTAGAAGGTTGCTACAACAAGGCTTTCCACTTCGCTTCTAAAAATCTAGCTTTCAAATCATATAGTTCTACCCAGCAAGCATCTTCTGGGCCTTCTGTGACTGCCCAGTTAGCTTTCTTCTTCATTCGTTTTTCTAGTATTGCAACAGGTTGGACTTCAAGGTCGCCATCTTCATTGTAGTTTGGTAAAGACTGGAATTGAATGTTGTGTCCATGACATTTCTTCAACAGGAAAATGTGAAAAACATCATGTATTTTAGAGCCTTGTGGCAGCTCTAACTTATATGCTACTTGTCTGATTCTTTCCAATACTTTGAAAGGGTCAAAATATCGTGCAGTAAGTTTATGGAATGATGTGTTAGGCAGGGAGGTCTGCTTATAGGGCTGTAACTTCAAATAAACTAGATCACTAATGTTGTATTCTTTCTCAATTCTTTTCGTATCTGCCTTCACCTTCATTCTGTCTTGAGCCTGTTGTAAATTCTTCTTTAATAATGCGGCAATCTCGCCCCTAGTCTTAACAGTGTAATCAACTGCTTGTATTAGTGAGTCACCTACCAATAACGGTGTATTTAATATAGGTGGGTAGACATACAAGGCTTCAAATGGAGTAATTTGAGTTGAAGAGTGGAACTTGGTATTATACCAATATTCAGCCAACGCAAGAAACTCTGTCCATTTAGATGGAATGCTTCCTATAACACATCGTAGGTAACCTTCAAGTGCCTTATTTAGCGCTTTAGATTGGCCATCCGTTTGAGGGTGGAAGGCTGTTGATTTGAGCAGCTGCACTCCATGGATGCTAAATAGGTCCTTCCAGAATGTACTCATGAAAATGGGATCTCTATCTGATATTATCTCTGCTGGCCAACCATGTAGTTTGACTACCTTGTCCATGAATGAGTGTGCAACTTTAGGTGCAGACAAGGGATGATTAAAAGATATAAAATAGGCATATTTAGTTAATCTGTCTATGACCACCAGAATAATTGTCTTGCCTTTTGATGATGGGAGTCCTACAATAAAGTCCATTGATATTGAAGGAGACCTGCAGGATGGTTGAGCTGGGGCTTGTACCATTGGCATAAATCACAGTTCTGGACCCAATGCTTCACTGACTGTTGCATTCCTTTCCATCAGAAAACTTCTCTCAATCTTCTATATGTTTGTGAGCTTCCTGAATGCCCTCCAAGAGCAAAATTATGGTAATAAGCTAAGAGTTTCCGTCTGATCATGATATCTCCCCCAACCACTATTTTGCCGTTTCTTTTAAGAATTTCTGCTGCCACGCTAAATTTTTTATAAGACTGTTGAGTCACCTTGATTTTATCCCAGATTTTCTGTAATTTCGTATTATTCTACCATGTGGCTTTGACTTTTTGTAAGATTTCTGATCCAATTTGGAATATAAAGCATAAGCTGTTGTCAGTTTCATTCCTTGATAATGCATCCGCTACTATGTTTTCTCTGCCCTTCTTATATTCAATAGAGAAATCCAATCCCATTAGCTTCTCCAAACTCCAGTTCTGCATCAATGTTGTAGGAGGCTGCTCCAGGATATATTTGAGTACTTTTTGATCTGTTTTAATCTTGAAATAATTTCCTAATAGGTAATGCTGCCATTTTTTTACAGCAACTAAGATAGCATAAAATCATTTCTCATATGCTGATAATCAACGATACCCCACTCCCATTACTCTATTGATGAAGGCCACTGGATGTCCCTTCTGAAGAAGAACTGCTCCTATTCCTTGGCCAGAAGCATCTGTTTCAATTGTGAATCCATCAAAATTCAGTAGTGCTAGTACAAGAGCCTTAGTGAGTGCCATTTCAGCTTTTGAAATGCTTCTTCTGCTTCCTTAGTCCACTGAAATGTTGTATTTTTCTTCAGTAAGTTGGTTAATGCTTATGCAATTTTGCCATAATTCTGAATAAATATTATGTAGTAGCCTGAAAGCCCTAAAAATCCTCTGAACTGTTTGACATTGGTAGGAGAAATCCATGCTATGACAGCATCTACTTTAGCAGGATCGAGTGTTACACCGTGTGTTGAAATTATATGTCCTAGGTATTCAACCTGTTGCTATGCAAATGAACATTTTTTTTTTGTTAAGGACCAGCTGATTATCCATTAGAATCTGAAATGTTATTTGTAAGTGTTGGAGTTGATCATCCCAAGTCTTGGAATAAACCAAGATATCATCGAAAAATACCAAAATAAATTTTCTCAAATGTGGTCTGAATATGTCATTCATCAAATTCTGGAATGTGGTTAGGGCATTAATGAGCCCAAATGGAAGGACCACCTATTCATAGTAGCCACTGAGTTCTAAAAGTTGTCTTGTGGATATCAAACTTCTCCATTCTGATTTGATTATAGCCACTCCTCAAGTCTATCTTAGTGAAGTAGGTTGTTCTTGCTAGTTCATCCAGTAAATCCTCAATGATCGGAAAAAAAAATTTATTTTTCACTGTTAGAGCATTCAATTTCCTATAATTAGTGCATAGCCTCCATCCTCCATCCTTTTTTTTTTTATTAACACCACTGGAAATGCAAAGGCACTGTGGCTTTCTCTAATAAAACCACTTGCAAGCATATTCTATAATATGTCTTCAATAACTATTTTTTGTGAATGTGGATATCGGTATGGCTTGAAGTGTACTAGATCATCTTTTAATAGTGTGATTTTATGATCATATTTTCTTTGAGGAGGTAACTAGTATGGCTCCTGATATAATGCTGCACAATGCAATAACAGTTCTTCCAAGTCTGCTTTTTGTGAAGTTGTGAGGTTCTCCATAGCTCCTGTAGCAATTGGGGAATTGTTGAGGTGAAACATGTCTGAGATGGTCAGAAGCATTGCTCGACAAATGTTGGAACCAATCATGCTTTTCAGTGCTGGCTGTAGTCTGTCCTATTGTTCTCCTTCTAACAATACAGTGTTGTCATTGTGCTCAAATTGCTTTGTAAGTTTTGAGCAATTCCATCTAATTTCACCAAGTGTCATAAGTCATTGCATGCCAAAAATTGCTCCATAGTGTGATCCAGGGAGAACTAAGAACTCACCTATAAACTCATGCCCTTTAAATTTCCAACGTAATTGGTCACACTTCTTATTGAGGAGTAATTGTTTTTCATTGGCTACCATAACTGAAAATTCTTTTATGAATTGAGTTTTGAGTCCTAGAGACTTAACCTATTTATCACTAATAAAGTTATGAGTAGATCCAGTATCCATTAAAAAAAGGGACCTCTTGTTTCTTGATCAGGCCTTTTCTTAGCTGTAATGTTTAGCCACCAGCAATGCCCTTAAGTGCCTGCAGAGAAATGTGGACATCATCCTCGTACAAAAGTTGGTTTCCAATGTGCAAGGCTTCTTCTACTATTGTTGTATCTTCAAGTTTTGGTTGATCATCACTGTCATCTCCTTGTGCAACAAAGATGGCACTTAACTTCCTCCAGACCTTGCATTTTTGTGTATGAAACTTTTTCCATGGTTCACCACAAAATCTACACAGACCTTTGGAAATTCTCTCATTCATCTCTTTTCTATTTGGAGTAGCACCCGCTGTCTTGATCTCTTTCTGTGTATTAGAAGTAGCAGATGTTGCTGATTGAGATTGTTGGAGATTAGTGACAAGAATGTTTCGTTGGTTCATATTAGAATAGTTCCAAGCACGAATTCCCCCTTTTGAGGTTTCTGAATAGGGACTCTTTGTTGTTGTTAATCTTTTCTCCAATTCTTGCATAATATCATCCTGTAGTCGTGCAATTCGCATGGTATCTTGGACAGATTTAGGATTGTGAACATGAACAGATTTCTCCAAAGAAGAATGTAAGCCTCCTAAGAAAAAACTAATTGTCACTCCTTAAAAACTGTTACTCTAGCTAATAATTCATCAAATCTTTCAGGATACTTTATCACAGTTGAATCTTATCTCAACTTGGATAATTCAGAAAGTGGATCATTGTAATTACCCATGTCAAAACATGCTGCGGCATCAGTCAAGATTGTTTGCTAAGATTTGTTCTTGGATGCATTAAGCGCCATGTAATGTTGTTGCCATGTGAAAGTCTTTCCATCCATGGATAGAAGAAGTTTCCCTCGTTGTTCCTATGGCGTATCTTCTAATTTAAAAAATTGTTCTGCCTTTTCACGCTATTCTCAGTAGTTTGATCCATCAAATGAAGGAAATGAGATGTGAGCACATTTGAGCACTTTGCATCCTTTGATATTATTCTCATCTTCAACTTCGATCTCAGGTTTGTCATCGGAAGTGGAACCAATTGATGACATTTTTGCAAGAACTTGTTCCAGCATTGCTGACATTGACTCCATCGCCATCTTTGTATCGTGACGTGATTCAACAAGACGTTCTTCCAATCTTTTATCCAAGACTTGAATGCGTTCTTCAATATCCTTGTTTATTGTTGAATCTCCAATTATCGCTGCCAGCTAAATATGATACCAATTGTTATAAGTGGGAAGGATTCCACTTATACACATCCTCACTGTACTCACGGATGCTGGACCCACATGTAAAATCAAAAAACAAACACAATACTCACTCACAGGGATTCAATTCTTGAAAATTCAATATTATTTTCTCATATATGAAATTGTGATTACAAAGGATATTTATAGAAGTACTTAGGGACTTCTACCGGTTAGTTTAACAATCTACTCTTTATAATTCTCAACTAACAACTATTAACTTTTTCATTACAAAACATATCCTTTTATTATTTATAACAAAATGCCAATGAATTTTTTTAAAAAAAAAAATTAAATATTTAAAAATATTTAAAAAAATAATAAAAATTGTCGTTGATGATTTTTGGTCCGTTGAGTAATTTTAAAAAAATTATATTTATGTAATCTTGTCAAAAATTCTATTTTTTTTTATTTTGAAAAAATCATACATAAAAAAAAAGCTAGAATCCAACACTCTTTTTTTTTATAATTTTTATCAATAAAAATCATAAGATATTACAAAAATATTATAATATTTAATGAAAATATATTTATTCTAAATTACATGCTATTTTTTAATCAAGTCGGGTAGGACATCTAAATATACATTAAAAAATCATTTATATTTTTTAGTTTTATTATTGGATAAAAATTAATTGTTTTTATACTTTGTAACAAAATATTTTGACTTTCTATTCTTTAATTTTTCTATATTTTTATTTTGTGAAATAAAATAGAACGTGAAATATGTTTTTTCTAATATTGACAGGAAATAACTGTAAACAGAGTGTACAGGATCCATGAGGTTATATGAACTGCCAAACCAAACCCCTAAAGTTCGTCAATTGTCCACCATTTTCTATCCTCTTCATCTGACCCATTTCATTTTTCATCCCACCCTGCATTTGCATTGCAAACAAATCATCATATTGTTATTTGCAATGGGGGTGGGCAATTCAAGGTTAAATGGGGGAGATGGAGAGGCCAAAATTCGCCCTATGCTTGTTGGCAAATTTGAGGAGTTTAGGAAAAGTAGGAATGCAGAAACCACCCTCTCAAAGAAGGAGTTGTTGAAGAATGCTGATCAAGAGGATGGAAATTCGCAATCTTCTCGTGAATCTGAAATTGAGGATAAGGTTTCTTCTCTAAAAGAGACTCAACCACCCAAAGATGAAACGTTCGTTCGATCAACAACCGCAGAAAAATTGTCTAGAGTGGTTCCAATGCCCAACCCCGAACGTGAAATTGAAGAGGGTAACGGTGAAAAGGTTGAGAAAGACATAGATCAAAACCAAGATAAAGTGATTCATGTTATTCAGATTGTTGAGGCAGAGGTAAAAACAGAAGAAGGAAAAAGGACTACTGAACCGGTGGAAGAGGCCAAACAAGAAAATGATGACAGGGACGATGATGACGATGATAGCCATGAATTGAACCGAGTTATATGCCCCGGATCGCCCAGTTTTAGAATTTATTGCATTGAGGCTGAGAAAGGAAATGAGGAAGATTGTTAGTAGTCAAAGAATTAATAGCATATTTTGTAAAAGCGCTTACTTTTTATCTAAATATTTAAATTGTTTGATGAATGCAGGTATGAAGCCAAGCATTGTGGTGCACCAAAAGTCACGCAGTGCAGAAACTGTTGTAAGCGTTGCATCAGGAAGCTTAAAGGAGGTTATTATTGCATTTCTATTCCTCCCTCTTTTTTGTGCGTAAATTTATTTGCTTTATCCACTCATAGAGAACAAGGATCAATTTATCCAAAGCTATAAGAACCGAAAAATATTGAATATTATTCTAAACTTCCCTCCCCAAAAGAGATAAATGAAGACAATACCATAACACTTTTGGTGATTCTGTTCTCTGTTTTTACTTCAGATTGCTGAAATAGAATCAACTTCGAAAACAAAAGGAAATAAGAAGAAATTTGGGGCTATGAGAACTCTACTCAAGGTTAAGTCGTGCTACCACCCAATGTGTACCTGTGCTGGTGATGAAAGCGGCCAACTGGTTGCTGCAAAATCAGTGAAAAATGATTGAGACTTAGGTGTTAGAAAGAATGAACACAATTTGTACCATTTTTCCTTTTTCTTTCTCTTTTTTTAATTGGTCAAAGATTTTTTTGGCCTAGTTAATTTTTTTAATTCCTTCTAATGCCTATCATCCGATTCCAACAATCAGATATAATTTGTTCATTATGTAAAACGCCTTGTTAATTGTTGGTTTCCAGAGTTGATGTAAATTATTTTCCTTTGTTTTTATTATATATTTTCATATAAGCCATTTAACTATCCACCTGGAGTCAAACAAAAACAATTATTCTTTTTAACTATGATGAAAAATAAATTAATTCATCTGCATGAAAATCAAATCACATTGTTGAAGTTCATATAAACCATTGAGAGAATGTAAAGAAATTAGACTCTTTGTTATAGTTACTTTATTGAATAACAATATAATACCATTGCTTGGATCCACAAGTTAGGTAGCAAACTTGTAACAATGCATGGACTATCAAATGAAACTTCAAGGACCTCTTCCAAGTCATACATGGCAATCCCTTATCCTATTACAGCATTAATCATGTGATTGTTGTTCCATGAGATCTCCCATTCCTTCTATAGTTGAATATAATCATCAAGTAAGGGCATGATTCTGAACACCTATAGCTACAGTGAAAAAGGGTAGCAACTCTTTTTAGTAGTTTTTCAGAACAAGTAACCTTGAACCAAAAAAGATCATTCTTTTCATGATTGACACATTCTTCAGGATTGACTAAGTTTCCCTTGTCAACACTTTTAGGAATCAAAATCCTTTTGGAATCTCCATTCTATGGTTTCCAATCATTTTCATTCAAGCACCTGTATATTTTTACTATGGTGGAAAACTCAGACTGAAATTAACGAGCACCCTTCCTTATCATCACTAATAACCCTGTTTACATGAGTTATTTACTGTACAAGGCAATTTTAGGTCCATAAAAAGTCTCATCGATTTATGGTTCATCCATTGCTTTTGGAGCAAACACGACCAAATGCTTGGATTTCTTCAACTCATTTTTGTAAATGAAGATCTTATCTCCATAGAATTCATGATCAATCACTGGGAAATCATTGAATACATCTAGAAATGCTAAGACAGCTTATCTCATCGTATTGCAAATATTTAGGTGGTATATGCATAAATTTTTAAAAACAAAGTCTTAGGTTTGAATCATTTTATATATGAAAAAAATGCTAAGAGAGCGTTTCTCATCCTATTGCAAATGATCTTACTTTAAAAACCATATTTGTTTAGAAAATACTATAATTCTAAATAAAATTTAACTCATATTAAATAATTAAACAATTTCGATTCATACTTTAAATTTACAAATTAATTAGGCAAAATTCAAATCTTAGTAAAATCTATCATATTTTCATCTCTATCAACATCGTATTCTTGACAGTGGTTTTAAAATATTTGAAGTGTGAATGTCTATAATCATTTAATTTGTCTGTAAATTTGAAAAACCAAGCCTCAATCTTTATTGTCCTTGAACCTAGACCATGGAAGTATGGAAACTAATTTTTTTAGTATTTTTATTGTTAAATATTTTTTTATTTAACTTTTATCTTTTTATTTACATTACAAGCATCTTCTACCGTATAAATAATCTTGTTCGGGTTAGGTAAAATTATTATAGACAGCAAAGTTCTTCCTTGAAACATTTAATACAACTATATTTATTCTGGAACTCAAACTCAAAATCACATATTAAATTAGAAAACTTTCATTTTAAGAATAAATATAAAAAATGATTAATTTTTTTTTTAATTTTCATTTCAAGAGTAAACATTAAAAAATGATTTAATTGCCCTTCAATTTTTTATATTTTATTTTATGTATTTATTTAGTTTTTTTAATTTTAATTATATACATTTAATTTTATTAATTTCTAAATGGTTAAAATTCTTTTTATTTTCTAAAAAATTTATCTAATAACTAACAAAATAGAACAGACATATGACATATTAATATTTTATATAAATTAATAAAAAGTACATAAATTATTTAAATAAAATATATAAAAATAATAAATTTATTTTTATACTTATTTATTATTTTATATATTTTTATTTATAAATATGTTTCAATTAATAATATATTATGTTTTTATCATATCTTGTTAAATATTGAATAAAATTTTAAAAATAAAAACCTTAATTTAAATAATTAAAAATTATAATAAATAAATATGAAAAATTAAAATTATACATAAATTAAAAGTGTAATTAAGTCAAACTTTTTTTTTTATTTCATGTCGCTTGTAATACGTAAAAAGCAGATGCTCTTAAACTATTTTTGCAAATGATTGATTTGTGCATGTAGATTTCAAAGCGTGATATGAAGAAACCCTAGACACATCTTATCTTTCGTTGAGTAAACGCTTTAACATTGAACGCTTCTTCAACATATTTGTAGCTTCATCCCTTTTTTTTTTATCATATATTCCTTTCATTTCATCTATATCCGGTTGATTCTTACACGCTTAGTAAATGTGTTGACTATTTCTCATGCTTTAATTAATCATAGTTATATTTATAAATTTTTAATGTGTATTCGAAAATATACAATAAAAATTTATTAAATAATATTTTTAATTAAAAATCATGACACTTAACATTATTAATTTATACTAAATTTTAATTTAAAAAATTACTGTATAAAGAGTACCTAAATTTTTAATTGTACTAGATATAAAATATTTTAACAATGTTTATTGTCTGTGAAACTTCGAAGATATCAAGCACCTTATGATTAAATACATAAGACTAAAAAGAGGAGGACAAAATCGTACAAACCTTGAAGAAAACTGTATAATAAAAAGGATGATGATTTAAAAGGCTATGAAATTGCCACGTTCAATCCAACAACTATGCCCATGCATGGTTTCACGTCTAATCATTTTAACGTGATTTTTCAGGAAAAAAATATTTGATTGTCGTGAACTAAAATTAAATTAATTATAATTTTTGTATAAAGTTAAAAGTTTATATTATTTTTAAAAAATTAAAAAATGCAAATCACTTTCATTTAAAATTATAATTAAAAATTATTTTCAAAACCAGAGGTTCATTGAAAATGACTCCCAAACTGTTATTGTTTGGAAAGTCCAAAACGTAATAATATATAGAGATATACAGATCATTGGCTTTCTTTCATGTTTCTTGTCGCATTGGCCTGTTTTTCTTTGTTTTCTCATTTCTCTCTTTGGGGGTTCTTTAAGTCTTATACATATATATATATATAAAGAGGGATATACAGATCCCTACTACTTTGTTGTTTTTCTGCTTTTTCTTCAGTAGTTGTTCGCATGGATGCCAATTCCTTTCAAATCACGCCATTAAATTTTCTTTGTTTTAACTAATAATTATCTTGCGACGGGCCATACGCATGTTTGACTAGTCATTTTCTCCATTCGTTATTCAATTCTTGTGCATAATCTTCAAATGACTCTAATTCTTTCCATGTGCAAATAGTTCATCATTTTTTTAAAAATTTTAAAATGTATTTAATTTTTATAATTAACATTTATTACAAATTAATTATTACATAAAAATATTTTAATTTTTACACCAACATCTCGTTTACTTTCAATATTTGAGATTATATCACTATTAATAAAATTTATTGTTTATTAAATTATACTTTTTAACAGTATTATAATAATTATAATTAAAAAACAAAATATTTATATATTCTCTAGCATTTTCTTAAATATAATAACTATATATATATATTTAAGAATTAATTTATAAATAAATATATCAATTATAAATATAACTTTGACTTTCATAATTGCTAAGAGGACTGAGTCCCGTATAAAAAAAAAAATCAAGTACCCATTTTTTAAATTTTAGAAAAATAATTTTGTTAAATGCAATTAAAGAATCTAAATCAATTTATAAAGTGTAAATTTTACATTAAAACACATGTCATTACATGAAAAAATAATTTTGGTCCTAAACTAATTAGGAGAGTAAATCATCTTTATCGGGAGGTGTTTAGTAAAATGGATACAGTATTGGACTATCAGTGACTCGTTAATTCGAAATAGTATTAAAACCATAATAGTCTTACGGAACATTCGAAATATATATAAGTAATGAAATACAAAGAAAACAGGTAATTTCAACTCTCTAAACACGAGATTAAATGGTATTATCTAATTTTCTTTTAATCAGTAATGAAAATAATGTTTTTATTTATTAATTAATTTAGAAGTTTAAGATTATATTAATTATTATTTTCTCAAGTACGTTTTATGTTTTGTAATAAATCTCAAATAAAAATGAATTATTAATTGCATTATTGCTCTATTATTGAGGATAGATCTATGAAAGTAAAAAAAAAAAAAGATTTTAAAAAAATGTAAGGAAAACAAATATATGAATTATATTTCTTAATCTATATCTTACTTATTTAAGTGAACAAATGAAAAGAAATAAAAGAATCAACATAACCTTGTGTAAAGTAACCTGCTGATGATTTATGTCTAAATATTTGTAGGTAAACAAAATTGACATATTATTTACGAGCTGATTTTACTGGCTAGATTTGCTTTCAAAGTCTATTGTGCGTTGTACTATATATTCCCCCATTTTCATTCAATTATTAAGCCTTGAATTCAAAGCAAACATCTGAAAAAAAGAAAAAAGAAAAAAAAAAGGACAAAACCTCATCCATGTTATCTCCACGCATCATTTTGACACGTTGAACACTTGAACTTTGAGGTGGGATCAGTGCAATGCTTTTTTTTTATTTATTATTATTATCCTTTAATATTTCTCCTTCTGTGAAATATGAATGTCATTACGTACCATTATTGTTGCGTTTCCTTGCTTCTAATTTTCTGTTTATTTGCTATCGTTTGTAGATATAAAATGTTATTTTATTTCTTATTTTAAAATTTATAAATATATATTTTAATATATTTTTATAGTTTATATACTTATTTGTAACTATTATTTTATTAAATTTTTATATTAATTTTTATAATTATCATGTAGATTAATAAAAGAGATCATATTTAGGTTTTGAGTATATTTTAGGCTAAAATTAGATAAAAACTTGAGTTTCTTAGTAACTAGTATGTCCATATCTTAGCAGGCAGCACAAACATGTTTCGAGACACATGCACAATCATATTTATTATCTTGCAGCGGTGAAAAGTCTAACTTCGAAGAAATTTTAGAATTTTTAAATTTTATAAAAGTTTGATATCATCATTTTCACTTTTTTATACATTTTTTTCAAATCTTAAATCTTAGTATTGACCAGTACATCTACGTACTACAACTCTGAGCCCGTATCTTTAGATCAAGAATTATTTTCATCTCATTTCCATTGTTAACTTTTATATTTTGTATTTACTTTTTGATTATTTATGGATTTGTTTAGTATTGTTTTAACTTTCTTTTATATATTATAACTAGTTAAATTTATATATAAGATTATGGTAGATTATTTATATAACTTTATAAGATCTTTCCGAATAATAATAATTTCATGTTTTCTTTCTTAATTGGTGTTTATCTTATCGTGCTATATTTGTATGTTTAGAATTGATAACTCTTAAATATATCATAATTAATTATATTATAGGTAATTGTACTAAATATAATTAATGAATCTATAGGTAAAACAATACAAAGAATTAGGTAGACTAAGTTTAGTTCTTATCTTTCATTGAATTAACAACTTATAGACTATTTATGTTTTTTTTTTCTCTTTTAACTTGCATGATCATTTGGTGTAATAGCTCAAGAAAAAAAATTGTTATTACATAATCATTAGGTGTTAATAAAATTAATATGAGTGTTTGACAATCATAAAAAAATTGAAATTAGAACTAATTTAAAAAGAGAATATAAAGAATTGTAAGATGAAACTATACATTTTATATTCTTTTTTATTAGTTTATTGTCCGATGCTATATTATTTTAATTTTCTTTTAATCAATTTTATATTTAAATCTTTATTTATTTAATTTTGTATTTATTAAGTTCAAATAATTAAATACAAAAATTTTAATAGTTAAAAATAATTATTGTAAGACAATATTTTAGAAATTTATTTTAAAATATTTTATTACTTTTTAACCGAGATACAAATAAAAAAATTATAAAAAGGATAAACGTTGTATTTTTTTATTTATTTAAACAAAAAAATATTAATATAATAATCTTTATTGTAGTTTTTAAATTAAAAAGGTATCATATATTATTTGAGAAGTAGAATAATTATCATCATTAATTTTATATTAATAGATAATAAATTTAGTTATTTATTTAAAAAAATATAAATACTTTCTAATTTTTAAAATATTAGAGAAAATATAGTATGTATTTTTAAATTTATGAAAATATATTAACAAGCACCTATTAATATATTCAATTAAAAAAAGCATTACTTAAAATTATTTTGCTTGAATATACTCAATTTTAACGATTGGTAAATAGCAAATTTTTTTTCTTTTTTATTTTAGTTAAAAAATCAATATTTTATAATTTTAAAATAAAATTTAAAAATATTTATTAATATAAATTTAATACATTATTTTTATTTTCTTATTTTTAAAGTATAAATTTTAAAATAAAATATTTATTTTTTAAAATTCAACTTTCAAACAAATCTTAGAAACTAGTTTAACACACGGATCAAAAAATAAAAAATATGAAAAATTATAATTAATGTATATTTAATAATTTTAAAACTTTTTAATTATTTTTTCAAATGAACCCTTTTAATAATTAAATATATACATGATAAAAAAATTTAAAATAATAATGTTAATTACAAATTATAATATTTAAAAACATTAAGATAAGATTTTATTAATAAGTATTTATAAATAAAAAATTATTTATAAAAATTATATATTTACTATATTAAAATTATGAAAGTACAATAATTTTTTTATTTTTATAAAATTTAGTATTATTTTTTATTTTTAAGAATCGAAATTAGCATTAAAAATTGAATGAGTAAATTGTGAAAAAAAGGACGGAAAGAGTAGCCAGCAAGACTCATGTCTTAAATGCAAGTTATAATATTTAAAAAAGATTATATTAAATGCAAGTAATAAATGGAAGTTCTTATGCTTAGGGAGGTAGGTGGAGCCAAGTCACTTCATCTCAGCTTCATGTGTCAAGCATTTTATTTTAGAATTGCGTTGAATTAATTAAGCTTATTCCCTCACTTCATTGAAACATTAACCAATTCAATTCATATCAAAATTCAAAAAATAGCAATAATTGATTGGGTCCCAACCTGAAACACTCACAGCCCTTTCCTCCAAATAAAAGCACTTAGCCTTTATAGCACCCTTGACTTTTTACTTACCAAAATCTATGTCCCCATCATCATGCTGCGTCGTTTTGAACCTTCTGCTTCCATAGCCACCATTCACTGACAACACTCACAATCTCCCAGTTTCCGACTCACAGTGGCAATTCTGTTATTCTGCCCACACCCATGTCTGCTTTCATCCAAGATATATAAAACATTGAATAAAAATTTAGCGAATTTTAAGAAAAATTAAAATTAAAGTATGTTAATAACTTTATCAACTAGTATAATGTTTTATTTAGTATCAAGTACTACTGCTAGTACTTGAGTTGGAGTAGTGGCATTGTGACAACCTCAAACTCCTCAGCTGAAAATCTTCAACCCCCAACAAACCTTTATCCTCACTCATTCGCCGGCCACCACCTCCGCCACCGCTTACGGCAGCTCCATGCGTTTTCGATACTCTGCCATCGTCGCTATCCACAGCCTCAGACACTACCACCGCTGAGGATGGGTTGCGCGCTTGGAACGCCGGTGGTTTCCGACGACCGTCGCCGGGACAACACTGCGACTGCTGACGAAGGCAATAATGCTGCTAGGGTTCGGCAGAAGCAGAAGACTCCGCACGCCGGCGAACCTTCTGGCGTGATTCCGGCGCCGGAGCGCCGAATACCTCGCCTTGAACGATTTACGGCAACCCCCCAGGGCTGGCCGCCGTGGTTGTTGGCCGTCGCCGGCGACGCAATCCGAGATTGGACTCCTCGCCGCGCCAACACGTTCGAGAAGCTTGCTAAGGTAAGGTGCTTTGAACTTTGGAACTTATCTCCACTTTTCGAATTTTGTGTTTTTTTTTTTTTATAAAGATTTTGTTAATTACAATAACAAAATCACAAATTTTTATTTTAAAAAATATTTATTACATTTAAATATTTTTAAGATAATGATTTTTAATCCTAATATTTCCTTTTTTTATTCATTGAATGTGAGTTTGTTTTGTAAAGGGTGTTTCCTTTTTGTGTTACTTTAGATTGGGCAAGGGACTTATAGCAATGTGTATAAAGCTAGGGACCTTGTTACTGGGAAGATAGTGGCTTTGAAGAAAGTTAGATTTGATAATTTGGAGGGAGAGAGTGTGAAGTTCATGGCCAGAGAGATTCTTGTTTTGAGGAAGCTTGATCACCCCAATGTTGTTAAGCTTGAGGGTTTGGTTACTTCTAGAATATCATCAAGTCTTTACTTGGTATTTGATTACATGGAGCATGATCTTGCTGGCCTTTCAGCTGGCCTAGCTGTCAAGTTCTCTGAGCCTCAGGTACCACTATTTTATGCTCATTTTTCAATCTTGCATCCTCCAATGTCTTCATTTGGAGCTGTTTCAATTTATTACTCAAAAGTTATGTTCAATAGTTTCAACTTTCAAGTTAATTTTCTCAGTGGAGAAATTCCTACTTCCTAGTAGAGCTTCCAAGCCCGTGTTGCGTCCCATCCATGCACTGTTCTAAGCATGTTTACTTTTGATTTTGTTGATATTTCAATATTCCTTTTCACCTGATGCACTTGCTCTGAAACTTCCTGTATCACATCACTCCATAAAATCAGCTAGTACTTTATTCGGAATTTTCGCTTTTTATAGTACGATGCAAATACACAAAAGGAAAGAACTTTCTTTCGGAAATACGTATACTTTTATTTTTCAAATTCCATCTAATTCCTAGGGATTATTTCGTTGCTATATATATATATAATTTTAATGGAAAATTGAGGTTACACATCACATGGGGAGGGTGGTGACTTTACGTTGTATAGTGTTGTTGCAATGAGAATGTTAAATGATAGGAGTTCAATTCCTTGCTTCATGGAGATATTTACATCTAGTACAAGGTGAAGTTATGTGAAGCAGTGGTGCCTTTTCAAGTGTCAATTAGAATAGAAGGGTGGGAAAATCCTTCATATTTAAAATGAAAGAAAATGTACTGAAAGGCTGATTGTTTCTCAGTATGTTCTATATTACAGGCCAAATGCTATATGAAGCAATTGCTGTCTGGCCTTGAACATTGCCACAGCCGAGGTGTTTTGCACCGTGATATTAAGGGTTCCAATCTGCTTATTGACAATGAAGGAATACTTAAAATTGCAGATTTTGGATTGGCAACTTTCTATGATTCTAAGCAAAAGCATCCCATGACTAGTAGAGTTGTGACCCTATGGTATCGCCCCCCTGAGCTTCTTCTTGGGGCTACATCCTATGGTGTTGGCATCGACCTTTGGAGTGCTGGCTGCATCTTGGCAGAACTGCTTGCTGGAAAGCCAATCATGCCTGGACGAACAGAGGTACTGCTCTTTGTGTTGTTTCACGAGTAGCTTTGGCCTTTGTACCAATATTTACTAACTGCGATGACTTCTTATCTGTTCTCTATTATATTACGCACCTTTCTTGATGCAACAGCATGCTTTTGGTTCGTAGTTTTTCCATACCTCAAAATCACCTTTCTTTGTTTTTGTCCATTTTATTGTGAAGTTCTTGAATCACCAGCTAATTTGGGAAAACAGGGGGCTTATGCTGGACTGTTTCATCAGCCTGATTACTTTGTCTGTTGATCAGTTAATAGCACTAACCAATGATACTGTTGGATCACTGAGCAGATGTGATTGATCAGCCTAAAGGCGGAAACCAGATTAAAGTCAGAGAACAAAGAGAAGTAACTGAAAATGAGAATGTTTTAGTTCATCATCACTAAACTCACTTTAAACTAGTTTTAAGTATTTCAATACAGAATACTGTACCCTCTAGCAAGCTTTAGGAAATTGATGTCGTATCAAATTTACATTTTGATGTTTCGGTTTGTTACCTTGCAATGTATATTTCTTGAATTTATGTCTGATTTTTGGATCCTTGGACACTAGGTTGAGCAGCTGCACAAAATATTTAAGTTATGCGGCTCTCCATCTGAGGCATATTGGAAAAAATATAGATTGCCAAATGCTACACTCTTTAAGCCACAGCAACCGTATAAAAGATGCATCTTAGAAATGTTCAAGGACTTCCCATCTTCTTCATTACCTCTAATTGAAACTCTTCTTGCAATAGATCCTGATGATCGTGGCACTACCTCAGATGCTATAAATAGTGAAGTGAGTAATCATTGTGGATTAGCATTATATTTGAGATGTAATGTGTTCACATCTGTTTTCTATCTGCAGTTCTTTACCACCGAGCCCTATGCTTGTGAACCATTGAGTTTACCAAAGTATCCTCCCACCAAAGAATTGGATGTAAAATTGAGAGACGAAGAAGCAAGAAGGTTCTGTTTTGTCTTGGATAACTTCTAGGCTGATTTTGTGTTGGTGCCCATTAAAGTTTCTATTTTTTTATACCATTCGCAGGCAGAAAGCTCTAAGTGGAAAAGGTAATGCAGTAGATGGTGCCAGAAGAGTTAGAGTACGTGAGCGTAGTTTGGCCATTCCGGCCCCAGAAGCCAATGCAGAGATCCAAACGAACTTAGATGTATGCCCGATGTTTCTGTTATGTTTGTCTTCTCCCCCATACCTACTTAACCACGCTTTGTTATGCTATTGTTGAGTTTAATACTTTAATGGTCTGTTCCTCTGTTCCTTCTAAACAACCAAGTTCTTGCACACATTTTTATGTAAATATTTGAGTCAGACCTTCCTTTTTACTCTATATTCTTAAATTAAGATGCATGATACCTCGACAATTGCATATTTTCATGATAAATTCTATTAATTATAAGGCTGTTACGAACTTGAGACCTATATTCTTTAGCATCTGTTGCTTAGGATTCTCTTACCTTATGCTAGCTTGGGCATTTCAAATATATTTTTGGTGATATTTCTCTTCTGTTCTCTCAATTTATAGAACTTTGGGATAAATTTTGTTTGATCTGATGGTCCCTCTCATGATCACTCAAGCTTTCCACTTCAGCATTGTCTTATTGTCTTCCTTGAGCAATATTACATGTGTTTTTTTCACTGGTTTTCAGAGGTGGAGAGTTGTAAATCATGCAAATGCAAAAAGCAAGAGTGAGAAATTCCCACCTCCTCATCAGGATGGAGCTGTTGGATATCCAACGGATGCATCAAATAACGGAGCTGTTTCTTTTGGAGCCACTGAAACTTCCTCTGGCTCAACCATATTTGATTCAAAACCTTCTGGTTCTGTTGTGAGTCATGCTGCCAGAGACAAAGGGAGGAAAACTAATAAAGAAGATTCCAAGATGACCTCGTCATGGAAATTTATGCGTGCATTCAAGCTATCAACAAAAACAATTGGTCATTCATTTGATTTATTATTTAGAAGCAAATAGTCAGTTTCATTTTTGCCATGCAATGTGGATTTTAATTTTTGTTTTCTCGACATTGATCCCATTTTTTTTATTTATATTTTTTTTATATTTCATTTGACATAAAAGTCTTTGCTGTATAATGTACTAAGGGGATCGTCATCATTAGATTTGTATATATATAGAGCATCGAATCCAGTACTGTACATTTTTCTGGGAGCACTTTGTCTTCATGTTCTCGACCTTGGGAATGCTCAAGAAAATTCATTTTTTTTTCATTTTTATATAAGTATAAATTTAAATTATAACCAATCCCAAATTTATTTGAATGTTTTTTAGTTGGTGGGTATAATTTGCTTTCATATTGAAAAAGTCAGAAAAAAAAAAGCATTTTTAAACTTTTTTTGCTATGATTAAAATGTATATTTTTATTCCTTAACAATTTTTTGGTTCAAATTTAATTTTTCAATTTTTATAATTGATATAAATATGTCCTTCGACTAGTTTAACTCTTATTTTTTCCTAGATATCACAATGAACTAAAGCAGAGTAAATCATTTCAATCATTTTCCTTACAAAAAATATCTTTTTGTACTAAATCAATTAAATCTTTAAATTTCATTCATTTAGATAATATAAAGTTCCTTCGTATCTACGAGGGAAGGGAAGACAGATTGCATTTGGCTAGTTTAGCTCATGGGATGAGCCATGAGCATGGGCAAATCGATTTACAAGAACTGCAACATGATCGTTAACAGCTTCTGTTTCCTGCTGGATTACGTCAACTCCTCTAGGACATTGGAATGATTGTTTGTATCAACCAAGTGCAAAGCTTTAAATTGAGAAACATTTTTACAAGATGTGTGTGTTTAACTGTTTGAGGGATCTCTAACTTAATGACTAGTGGGTACCAACTTTGTCTTAAAGACGATAAATAATGAGTTTAAACCAAGTTGATGACATTGTCATGACTGTATGTTTACAGTGAATTTAAATCTTCTCCAACAGTTTTATGATATATTCAAAGACAAAAAGACACATTTTCCCCAAATTTTGTCTTACTAAAGTGATTTTTTGACATTTGTAATACATTACTTAATTTATTTAATTAGTGTAATACAAACTATATCAATTCCATTCCACGTAATCTTATAAAAATAAGTTATTTTACTGTATGAATAATACTCTTGTCTTAATGACATATTTAAATTGTGTTATTTTAGTTTTTAAATAATTTTTACAATAATCAAATTTCTCGGTTTTTATGATTAAACAAAATAAAATACATCTATTGGACTAAAATCTAATTATTAATTACTAACAAAGATTAGTAACATTGCAATAGAAAAAATCGAAAGACCAAAATGGCATAGCAGTTATAGGTTGGACTAAGATGACTAAGATTCTACCAAACAAAGAGTTAAAGGTTTGTTTGTTCCAGATGCTGGCAACATGCATTTGACTTCGCCAGCTTTGGATGTGCTTGACTTGGTTTTACCTAATTATCAAATTCGAAACACAATATATGACATGAATTTTAAAAATAACTTTTTTTGGTTAGTTTGGTTTAGGCCTAACTGATTTTATGCCTATGTCAAACCGATTTATGACAACATTGGTGATTCAAAACTAGATAAAACTAGTTCAGAACGACTTTAAAACTCGATTTTGACTATTAAACCAGTCTTAAAAATGGATTTTGTAAATAAGAAAAGATAAATTTAGAAGTGATTTTGATTTAAAACCACTTTTAAAACTCGTTAATCAAAATATTTGACAAAAAAAAAACACTGATTAGTGTAAACATTGATTTACATTATTTGAACTTTTTAAAATATAATTTGATTTCAGTCCTTTTTTATCGGCGACAATTTGGTTTGAGATTTTATTTGGTATAATTTATATTTTTGCACGGTCAAACGCCCATACCTAACACAAACAAGACGTTGAGTTTAGTGGTACTGTGTCCCATCTCTATTGAGGAACTGTGCAATTCTTTTCAAAAGCTTAAAACAATTGAAAGTCAAACTGAACAATTAAAAATCGTGCCTCCTCACAATTTATCCGGAGATTGTTGATCCCAAAAGAAAGTAAAAACTTTTCCCCCTTTTTTAACTTGGACTCTTAGAACTAATTTTAAACATCTACAGATAATAAAATAAAAAGATAGCATTTAAAATAGCATTTAAAATACTTGTTTATTCTTGATGTACTAAATACATCCTTTTCCAATAAAAGTTTATCACTTATAGTTGTTTAAAAATAGTCTTGGAAGCCGAAGTTAAGATTCTTTTTAAATGATCAGTAAAGGGATCACAGACAAAACAAATGGAGAAAAGTTTCCTATGCAACGGATTCATAATGGACAGACAAAGCTCAAAAGATGCAGGAAACCAACCAAAAAAGCCACATGTACATACACGAAACTTTACAGCTATCCCATTTTATAAGGATAAAAGTTGGGTCTAGCCATATTCAGTTACTGAAATTAAGCAGCCTTGTATTGAAAAATCACCTGTGTTCACAAAATTTAAACATACCGTGCTTTGATCAAGGCTTGATTTCAATTAAAGGCCGGTCCAAGGGGTTCAAAATGGAACAAGAGTTGATACAAATGAATGTCATCAAGCTACTTGATAGTAATGTAGCGATTTGTTCCATGTCTGGCCCAGTATTCCTTAAGATCCAATGGTATAGACAAATCATGCCCTTCTGATGCCAACCTACTGAGAAGCCGTGTAAAGACACTTCCACTCATCTTTCGCCCTCCAATGCGGGCATGGCGCTTGTGTGGAAGCTGTGGTAGTGGATACATTGACAATGTGGTGGTACAACAAGATGACTGCCATCCGCCATTCCCCCATTTGTAGCACTGTCGTGGTACTCCGGTGCATGTGCAAACTGGGACCGGCATGATGGTTTCATCAAACGCAACCAAATTCAAGCCAACATCCTGCCTATCCCATTCAGATCTGAACTTTGTCCCTTCAGAAGATGCCTGCCTATTTAAATCCTCACCCATTTTCTTTACTTTGCTAGGTGGCTTTGATGCCTTGGAGTTAATAACCTTGTTCTCCTTTGTTCTCTTTGCTTGATGAGATTTGACACCTTCAGAAGGTATAACAGTCACTGGGGAGGCATCCCTTATTATCATATCCTTTGTGCTGTATGCAGCTTCTGTCATGTTAGATAGATGGTTGGAAGAATGGTGCATCCGCTTTGATCCACGTTGAATTCCAGCGCCAAATGGGAAGTTGACAGCATTGCTCCGATTTTGAAGGGCTGCAAGGGCATTATCCCGCTCCAATAGGGCATTATCCCTCTGAGCAAGTGCTTCATCCCTCTGCCGAAGGGCTGCATCTCGAGCAGCCAAGGCTTCGTTCTTTTCAGATATAGCAGCTTCTAATTCAAGTTCTAGAATGGCAGCCTGCCTCTCAGCCATAATGGACCTAATTTTCTTATTCATAACCAGTGCATTTGGCTCCTTTACTTGATGCTGGGTATCTGTATTCCACTGCACATTCAAAATGCAACATAATTAATAAATCAAGTGACTAGTAGTGCAAGCAACAAAAACAGAAAGCAACCTAAATCTGTGCAATTCCATTTACCAGGGAATGTGCTCCTCTGTAGTATTCCATCTTATGCCTACCATTTTCACGTGAGCGGCCATCATCCATCTTGCATCCAGAGGATTTTGCAACAGATGAGGTAATTGGTGTCAAGACGTCTTGAGTTTTAATTAGTCAAAAATCTCCAGCTTAAAGGCAAATCCTGTTAACATATGAGAAAAGCAACACTTGACATCAAGTCATTAATCAACAAGGAAAATAAAACAACACGTTGAGAGAAATTCTTTAGAAGGAGCAACTGGAAGGGAACCTTAAAGAGAACCATTACAGCTAACAAATTAAACTTGAGTAGAACCAACCAGCATGAAATGCTCCCAAACATCATTTTAATACAAATTATACAGAACCTAACAAATTTTATATGGCTGTATGGGTTATTCTTTATTTTATCTTATGCACTAAAGACAGAAGAAGACACAAGGAGACCACCATTTATTGGACAAAAACAAAAGTCTTAAATTGAGATTCTACCAGATTCCAACAATAAACTATACTCAATTTCTCCTAATATCATTGTATCAGCCATAGAATTTATATAGTGAAATTTAAGATAGGCAGTGCAAGACTTATTTTTGTTGCTAGTCAGTGAACTTCAATTAAGTTAAACAAGTAAAGATTCTGATATGATAATTTTTTATAGACTACCCAGTCTGATGCACACTTAAACCTGAGATAAAAAAAATGTCGAGAACATAATAGACATAAAAAAAAGCCATTAACAAAAATAACAGCCAAACATTTTTTTCTTTGCAGGAGGGGGGGAAGGTGGGCATCAGATGTTACAAACAAATTTCAAACTCATTATTTGAACATTTAGTGTTAGAACACGGACCATTTGAGCCTGAACATAACTGATTTTGTCAAATCCATACTCGAATACTAGCCTCTACTCTGGCCTAAAAAAACACCCTGCACTCTGCCCCTCAAATAATGCCCTCCATGCGTATGAACCACCCAGCAAAAACATTCATACTTTAAGATTTCCACAAGATAGTAGATAGTAGTATATGCACATGTAAATGCTTGAAAAGCAGTAACATTAGCTGCTAATTTTAGTTCATGGTAAAAAGTCTTCTTCAAATATAGTTTACATGAGTTATACCCACTTAAAAATGTTAGTGTATCTTACAAACAGGAACTACCAACCAGAAAGTTACTGATAACAAATAAATGTGGCAAGGCTAATATTTCAAACATAACATATGGGTAATTGGGTACTTAATAAAAATTCAACCATATATGTGATAAGTATGTAGAAGGTGTGCCCCCAAAATGCATACAGGCATGTGTCTATTTTTTGTTTTAATTGTAGATTCAGCACACACAACATACTGCTGTCTTTATTAATGTAGTTCAGGAACATGTTGGACAAATGAAGGTTTTCACTATATAGCAATATGGATAAATCTCTTGTGCTTGAAAGAAAGCATGGACACATTTTATGGTCAAGAAAAAGGGAAAATGATTGAATATAGAGTAGCCTATCATATACATCTCTTATATTTTCCCAAAAATTATATCCCCTTATCCATAACATACCAGGTACGACATCCCTATCTCCACTAGTGTCTAGTGCTAGTTAGATACTATGCTGGAAATCATTCAAAATAGCATAAAAAAGCACGTGCATTGTGCAAAAGTACATGCAATTCAGCCTCCCTTCTCCAATATAAGATAGAAATTTGAGTAAATTTCACATCTCTGTGCAGAAAGATAATCACTTTTTTTAAAGAAAATTAAACAAACAAAAGCAATACAATAATAATGAAGTCATGCAGCTTTGACAGACATTAGTTGTCTGCCTAAAGTACAAATACTATTAATGACTATCAACTGAGATGATAATAACCTCATCTGGCAACCTTAAAACAATGTAATAAAAAACACCATTTGATAAAAGGAAAATTTGCAGTCTTACGACATCCATTAAAATAATGTCTTCAAAATTTTACATAACATCAAGTAGCACCACAAGCAAAGAAAAGATTTATAAACACATAATACGGCTTTAGTATAGCTACTCAAAGCGAAGGACTAATTTTCCTGCGGAGACAACTTATAAGTTGCTGAGGGAAAAATAAAGGCAAAAACAGATAGATGCAATTACAACAAAGCTAATGAATGATCTTCTCCACCAGACTTCAGTAACCATATTGTCAAAAGCACATTGTTCTCATCATATGTCCCTAATTACTTACAGAACATGCAAGTTAATAATTGATAACATAGGCATCTTAGAAACACCATGTTACCTGGGTTATAATTATAGAAAGAACATAACTATTATTTTAGTATTTTACCAAGAAGATATGATCACCAATCATCTAAGGATAAATGTCATGCCGTAAATACTTAATAGAGAGCAAGATGACCCTTAAAACTTACCAAGTGAAAGATGTTTCATTGTCACTGACAAAACTTAACATGAATCATACAATATATTGAACAGAAGCAAACAGTGGCAAGAGAAGCCCAAACTTTTCAATTCAACATGGCCAAACCTTAGCTAATTGCCTATTTTAATTTTCATAACCAAAGATAGACATGAGGGGCAAGAGAGCAAACAGTGCATAGAACAGGATTCTCAACTACTGGCTAAGAGCATAGTATGGCAACAAAGAGACATCTATAGTCAAATAATAAGAACATCAATTCAAGAGCAGGATCTCTGGGGCAGTGCCCCAAAAGAGAGAGAGGGAGAGCGAGAGAGATGCTATTAAAAAAAACACAATTAGACTGCTATAAAATATAGATGCATTAGAAACTTCCAAAACTATATTACTATAGCCATCGAAGTGAAAATATAAAACTCCCAGTTAAAGAAGAATGAAGACAACAGACACACTGCAGGTTGGACATTTAAATACAAGAAAAAAAAAACAAATGAATAGCAATCACCATTCAACACTTTCCCCAAAGGTAAATAAGAAAAGGGCACTAAGGAACTTTTTCTTTTTGCTGTTTTTTTCGATTTGAAGTTATGGGTACGACTACCTAATCTAATCAAACAATACGAATGGTAGCCAAATAAATAGACTTTCAAGTAGTGATCACATCATTGTGCTCACTCTTGGACATAAAGCTCTAACAAGCAAATCTCTAAAACCTTCTCTCATTAGAGCAGTACTATTCCACACCACACTGCCCACAAGCACATTTTAAAAACAAAAAAAAACAAAAAAAGAACATTTTTTTTCAATTTCCCAATTGAAGAACTCCAAGACACAAGCTAAAAGCAAGCATGCAAAGCAAAAACAAAAAGAGGGGTGGGGGGAAATTAAGTGTATCTAAGGAAATTGCAGTATTGAAAAATGGAAAAGGTAGCATTGGAAGTAAGAAAGGAGTGGAAAGTTGAAGTAAAAGGTTAGGGAGATTACCTAGAATTAGAAAGCTTTAGAAATTGATAATGGTAATTAGGAAGAAAGAGAAAGTAAAATGTGGAGTGACAGAGAAAACTTACAGCTACTCGAATGGAATCGAAAAAGGGATTGTAAAATGTGAGGGAGAATAAGAGCATACCTACGACACGACACGACGACACCGTCGTTCGACTCTGCTCTGCGAGCGTTTCACTCTTCTTTTCTTCGCCTTTCACCACCCCGTGTCATGTTTCCCTTCCCATCACTAATCCCATGCCAAAAACAACGCCGTTTTAAACTTTTTCCTTTTCTCTTTTTTTTTATTAAAAAATATTTATTATTTTAAAAACGAAAGAGTATAAAAAATATTATATTTTTTAATGAAAAGTTTTAAATAAATTTTCAATGTCTGTCTAAGATAAACATTAAAAAATAGTAAATACACTATATTAAATCATTTAAATTATCATGAAAAATAAGTATTAAACATTCTTTTTATAATTTTAAGATAATAAATATTTTTAAACAAAAAACTTATTTTTAATTTCTTATAAACACATTTAAAAAATAATAATTTTTAAATACTTAAATTTAATTCCAAATATCAAAATAAAAAAAAAGTTATCATGCTTATTTATACAGTTATGAAATAAAAAAAAATTGTTTGTTATGGATTAATTGAAAGAATATTAAATATTTTTCACATGTTAAAATATAAAACGTATTTTTTAATTCACTAATGATTACTATAAATAGGGACTAATCTATATTTTGACAAGTGGAAACAGCTGCCGCCACAAGGTCTTTATTTTATTTTTATCTTTTTATTGTTTGTTAATCTCGCAGCTTCAAATTCTTAGATCTATCACTGCCTAAAAACATACAAAGAAAGAAAAATTATGCACTCGATGTTTAAAACAAAATATTGGTATAATTTATAATTGGTTGTTTAGATTTAACAAATGAAATTAAAAGTGTTTTTTTTTTTACATTACATGTACACTGTACAAGTACAAATACTGTTAAATTAAAAAAATTTATAATTAAATATTATTTTAATTATTTCCCTGGCTTACTATTCCACAGTGTGATTATAATTTCCCTTCGAGAATACAAATATACGCTATACCAAAATTTTAAAATTGACAACATATTCGGGTTGTTCTTGTGCCACAGTATTGTTATCATAATATTTAATTTAAATTTATTTACAATTATACTTTTTTAATATTTCTTTAATATATTAAAAAGAGTAATAATACAATAATTATTATCTCTGACCATTCTCTCGTCTGACTCTCAACAGCATAGGCCCTCAAGCTATGGTTGTTTTTGGGCCAAATCAGGCCAGAATCTAAGTAGCCCATTATTGTTTTGAGCCTATATGACTAGTGTCTACAGCTATGGAATTTGTCATGGAAATGGTCCAAATAGAATATATGCTTACATTGGTTAAATTAATTTTTAAACTATGAAAATGGCATTTTTTAGATTCAACGTATAATGATATATTTAGATTAAACTTTACTAATGGACGCGTTATCATATCAAGAAACCACAACCAACGGTGACCCACCACCATCAATGAATCAATCAAACATAGTGGACTGTAACAGCAGATGGGTATGGTTTGGCAATACTACTCAGAGCAAAACGATGCAAATGGCTTGGACCAATAATTGCATCCTCATGATGTTTAATAGGGCCCACTCTCAATCTGATAAGCCTTTTTTGGTTGTTGTTATGGACCCAGCAAAAACCTGTTATTTTTTGTTTACTTATTTTGAATTTTTATTATTCTGTAAACTTGTATCTTTTCTCAGCTCAAGATCATAATTTTATAGTAAAATTTTCACATTATCAAACAAAATAACTGTATTTGTTATTTCTCTCATAATTTGTATTGTCCTTACTATCATCGTGAATAGAAAAATTATAAATCTTTTTATTTTTTTAAATTTTACAAATTCTCTTAATTATCAAATGAAAAAAATATAAAATTTATTATATATGTTGGATCAAAGTAATCTTATTAACTTACCAAAGCCAAGGTTTCATCCACTTATCTTGCAGACATGTTTCTTTCGAGGGAAAGCAGATACGAGAGCAATTATTTGCCTGCCACATAATCTCACTTGTTTTGCATTGCAGCCTGGAAAGTAGAATCCACCACCCTTTATGTGGGCCTAATGATCAAAATAAAACATTTTTAAAAAATAATTATCAAATTAAAACAAAAATAAAACTTATTCCCTACTATTTATTTATTAAAATTACCTAGAAAAGGGACAAAATGTTGCAAATCACACGTGTAGCCTGAATTCGTATAAGGATAAGACAAAAAGGGCAAAAATTTTGAATTAAAGATTCTCGCTTCCAGACACGTGGGCCAATTAACATATTTCGTCTTCGATTAGGATGAATAGCTGATTTCGTCTTAGTCAGCGATGAAACATATTGATTGAGTCACGTGTTGGTGGAGGCCTTCCCTTCTCCCCTTTCCCTTCTCCCCCTTCTGCATTTGTAAACTTCAATTTTTTCCATTTACGGCCCTGTGGGTAGCAAATTTCTAGTCGTTTTAGCTTGATTTCTGAGTGAGAATCTTCATCCGTTGTAGAATTGTGTTCACATTCCCTTTATTTGCAGTCAGTGAAGATATTTTTGAATTAAAATTTGGAGGAGGTTAGGAGAACCTAAATCTACTACACAGTCACTGTTAAAGGGGAAGAGGAGGTCGTCAAAAAGAGACCACCGTGTAGGGAACTTGCCGCTATTCCAAGAAACTGTTACTCGTCAGAAACCGCCATTTCCGCCACTTGAAATCTGCACTGCAACCGAGGTATGGAAAAGATTTTTTATATTTTGTATATTTTTTATAAATAGAAAAATGTAAAATTTTGATTAAAAATTTTAGGAAAAAATAAAAATAAATTGATTAATGAGAGAAATTTTAATTTTAAAATTGATATTAAAAATAGAAATATGAGAACTAAATTTATTACATTTTTAGCTTGTAGAAAAATCTGATAGTAATATTTAGATTAAAAATATAAGAAAAATAATTTTGGTAATTTTATAGAAATTTAAAAATAAACAAAATTTGTAAAATTAAATTTTTATAGTGATGTTTATATTAAAAATTAAGTTGCATTTAGAATTATTATACTAAATTGAGGTGTAAATTAAAAGACAACTTAAAAATAATTTAAAAAATTAAAAACAATATTAAATAGTTAAATAAAATTTAGAATAGAAAATCAGAAAATAATTGTATCAAATTGGTTGATTAATTATATAAGAAATGATAATTAAAAAATAGTGTATAAAACTTATAACATAAATTATTTTTTTTTAAAATTAATTATGATTAAAATATGTAAATAGGTATATTTATTTATAATTAAAGAACAAATTTAGATAATTAAAAAAAGTTATATTAAAAATTGAAAGTACTAAAATTAACAACACTAATAAGAAAATTAGTTATCAAATATAAATAAACAAAGATATATAAATTAGTTGAGATAGATTATTTATAATTATATAATTTAATTTAGAAAGAAAAAAAATTGAATGTAGAATATAAATTTTTAGAATGATTGTAATTAGTTTAGGTTAATTACTGATAATTATATAATTTAATAAATGATGACCAAAAAATAATTTAAAACAAACAACTTGTTAATTAATCTTGTTATTGTATGATATAAGATCTATAATGGTAACTACTACAAAATTTTGAATGTTTATAGTTTTTAATTAATATATTAATTTCTTTTGATGTACTAAATTTAAAAAGACATGTTAAATTTAGGAAAAAAAAATCTATAAAATATTCAAATGTAGTAATGAACAGTTTTATTGTATTTGATTTACAATGATTAAAATGAATAAAATGTTATGAATAATTGTTTTTGATTTTATTTGTATTACAATGATTAAAAAGACAACTTAAAGGTTATGAATAATTTTATTTGATTTTATTTGTATTACAATGATTAAAATGTTATAAATAGTTTTTGTATTTAAATTATGTGATGAAGAAAGAACAGCTTGGGGTATTATACTTGATGCATAATATGAAATTATTTTATATAATTTATATTAAATTTTAAAATTTTGACCATGTTATATTTTATATTTTGTGTAGATGACTTCATCTTCAGGACAGAATAAGGTCATTCATCCTAGACCAGATGACCCTTTATTATTGCGCTTACAGAATATTCATGTGTCTGAACATATTTGGGATGGTCGGGATCATTCTATTTTGAAGGTTAGGAAGAGTCAATTTATTCCAGCTGGTTTGGATGATGTTCCAGAGGAGATTCTTCCATATTTAGAGCTTGCAAGATTTACTGGGATTGCTCACATATGTCAGTTTCCATTAGACCTCCCGTTGATCACTGCATTAGTAGAGAGATGGAGGCCAGAGACACACACTTTTCACTTGCCTCCAGGCGAGTGTACGATCACTTTGCAGGATGTATCTGTGTTGTTAGGTTTACGAATTGATGGAAGACCTGTGATAGCACCTATTGGAGTTAATTATGCTGATACTGTTGAGGAAAGCCTAGGGATTAGACCATCACGTGAAGATTTTGTTGGTAGCTTCTTGAAGATGAGTTAGCTAGACCAACATTTTATCCATGTGGCGATGCATGCACAGAATCCTTTACAGATCACCAGATTTGCTAGGGCTTATATGTTGCGGTTGATTAGGGGTTTTATGTTGAGTGATCACTCTAGCAGTAGAGTCTCAGTGAGGTACTTACCTTTACTTCAGGATTTTGCTGTCACTGGTGAATATAGTTGGGGGTATGCAGTATTGGGATATTTGTATAGAGAGCTGTGTATAGCCACCAACATTGATTAGCATGGTTTAGGTGGATTAGCTGCATTACTTGTGATATGGGCATGGGATAGATTTCCATTTCTAGGTCTTGGAAACTCGCTTCACACACGACTCCATCTTCCATATGCTACTAGGTAATATTAAATATTTATTTCCTTAATATGTTTAACATACCTTATGTATTAACAATATCTGTATCTTTTTGCAGGTGGTTGGCCAATCAAAGGAATAGGAAAATGAGGAAAGACATATCTTATTATAGATATAAATTTGACATGCTTAGTGGTGAAGAGGTAAACTTGGATTAACATTTTAGACATATGTTATAGTAATATTTTAATTTAGTTATCATTGTGAAAACAAACCTGAATATGATGTATATTGTGTGCAGATAATTTGGCAACCATATTCTATTGATTTGATTAATCGTTACCAGCTATATGTCGTGAGGGGATGGATTTGTGGAAGGCTGTTGTGCCTTTGATATGTTTTCAGGTGTGTGAGAGGCACCAACCAGATCGAGTAATGCGACAATTTAGTATGGTTCAACATATACCTCGTGCCCCTTATCAGCCAGATGCACTACATGACTTGACTCTGCGTGGGAAGGCAACAGAGAATTGGCAAGAGAAGCTGAGGGATGTTTTAGACATTTGGGAGAGAATGAGAGAGTGGGTCATGACCAATGACCCCCACATTGGTCAGCTAAGTTTCAACTCTGACTATATGCGGTGGTATAGAGTTCACACTAGACGTTGGATGACAAGAGATGCAGCTGTCTCATCATTACTTGTAAGTGTAAAGTACATATTTTACATTTATTTATGTGTATTTGTAATGACATTGTTAACATACATATATATTGTTTTATAGGGTGATGGGCTTGAGAGAGCCCACTACTTGATGACAGATGGCCATGATTCATTCACCTTTGATGAGATGCGAGACTTGTGTCAATCTATGCTAGTTTTGAAGAATGATTTGAACCGCATTATGGAACCTATTTCTTCATCTAATCCTCCAATGCAGAGTGGCAATACTGAGGATCCAGTTGTAGATGTCGGTCAATCAAGGGACAGTATCTTCTACACAGAACAACATTCCATTTGTTACCACCCCTTTGCGTAATAGGATTGAAGGCCTCTTCAACCTCAAATGTTGTTCTTGCTATATCATATCGTCTCACTTGATGCAAAGATGCTTCCTCTTGATTTTTCTGCAATTTTAGCATTAGTTTTGAACAAAACCTCTTACAATGGTTCAAGGCATTCATTGCATCCTCTCCACGCTTCACAAAATATTCAACCATTCATCCATAAGTGCATTTGACCAGAGCAGTTATAGGTAAGTTTCTTGTTCCCTTCAATATCCTGTTAACAGCCTCTGACAAATTTGTGGTCATATGTCCATAACGGCGTCCATCGACGTCATAACTCAAAGCCCACTTTTTCTTCGATATGTTGTTGATCCACCTCTGTATTTCTAGTGATTCAGTGCGGAATCTTCTCAACTTCTCTTCAAATACAAGCTTCAAAGGTATATATGCTGCAATGTACAAATACTACATGCCTTCACAATTCAAATAAATATAAAGTAAGAGGAAGTTAGATATGAATTAAATCATGTTACCTAATTTTATCACTTGTTTTTTTAGATCAACGTTCTTGAATTTATGGTTGAAATTGCTCGCAATATGACGAATGCAATAAACATGGTATGCATTAGGAGGTTGCCATCCAAGATGTGAGTTTGAAACAGCACTTTTGATACTTTGATGTCTATCATATATTAAACATATTCCTGTCTTGTTTGTCACGTGGACACGAATCATTGCCAAAAACCATTCCCATGCTGACAGAGTCTCCCCTTTAACAATAGCAAATGCTAGTGGTAGGACACAATTATTCCCATCTTGTGTTGTTGCAATCAACAATGTATGACGATACTTACCATACAAAAATGTTCCATCTATTTGAATAATAGGTTTGCAAAAGTTGAATGCTTCCTTGCATTGATGAAAACACCAAAACAATCGCTCAAATACTCTAAATCTGTTGTCCTCCTGATGTCCAACAACAAATGGCTTCGTTTCAATCTTATAAATAGAACCTGGAGCATAAAATTGCATGTACTCTAATCATCTTGGCAATGTCGCATATGATTCATCTCAATCACCAAATATTCTTACAATTGCCTTTTGTTTTGCCTTCCAAGCTTTTTTGTATGAAATTTTATATCCAAATTGAGTTGTCATTCTTTCTTGAATTAGACTTATAGGTAATGATGGTTCAAGATTAACCATACCTGCACAAAACAACAATAAAAATTAAACTAAGTATCTTTATAGAAAAAAGATATGACGAAATAAGATATTATTCAAAACTTACCAATTATGCATGACAAAATCAAATCTGAATCTAATTTGGTATGGTCTTGAGAGATTGTAGGGTTGAGACATGTATGCTTATCGCCACACCTTGTTATTTTCCACTTAATTGAATGTTTAGGCAATGATGCTCTTATTCTCCATGGGCACCCGTTGTTATGGTTTAAACACCTCACATGCAACTTTGTTGGTTTTGACTCAACAACAAAATAATTCTGATGTATTCTTATTGCATGTTGTTTTAAGACATTTTTAACTTCATCTTTTGAGTCAAATAACAAACCGACATGTAACGCATCTTCAATAACCCATGAATTATCTTCACTAATTTCTTCAGCTTCAATTTCTTGGTCTGGGTGGTCCCAATTAATAGATTTGTAATGTGGACTTACATTCCAAAAAGATATTTCATCTACAACTACATTTAAACATACAATATTCATCATTTACAACAAATAAACAATTTAATAAATATACTTTTTAAATGTTACGTCCAACATTTTCTTGTTGTAAATTTAAGTTTGAATCAAAATCACCATCAATGTTTATATTTGACGAGCTGTCTAACAGAATATGTCCTTCATCAATATCATCTGTCTCATCATCACTATTGACTTCATCATCTTCATCTTCATAACTGCATAAATCTCTATATCCTTCAAAATACAAACACTTTTTCAATATGTATTGTCACTAAAAAGAATTTAAAAATAAATTACAACAATATAATTTATATCTTCTGTAACATTTATATTGACAATTTCCATAGGGTTAGGCGGTGACATTGATAAGCTTAAGTCCAACATATTCGACCCACCTCTTGAACTCTCACCAAATGCAATATCCACGTATAATTCAATAAAAGTTATAATACTTTGTTGTTTATACGCACTAATCGTACAATCAATGTCTTCATCATCACATATATCCAATGCATTGTATTGTTTAACGCTTGAATCAATCATAAAACGAGAAATTATTCTAGATATGACATGATTATTACTAAGATTCAACTTGTCATGAATCTTTTTCTTTAAATTCATATAACTTATCCCTCTTCTTATCTTTATCATTTTTTTGTTACCTTCAAATGTCACACCTTCGTTTCCAACAACAATTTTTCCATTCCAATACACAATAATAATAATAATCTCATTCATCCTGCATTTATAAAAAAAAAATATCAATAATTATTTACAATTATACTTATTTATAAAAAAAAACATATCAATAATTATTTAAAATTATACTTATTTATATAAATAATATAAATAAATTATTTGTAACATACAAACATATTTTTATTTTTCACATTACTTTATATTATATAAAATGTAATATTTTTAATACATATTCCACATATATAAAATAAAATATTCACAACAACTCTAACATTATTTTTTTAATTAAACAAGTTTATATTAAATATCTATAAACTTTTAAATTTTTTATTAATTATCTAAAATGTTATTTTTTAATTTCAGTCTACATAAAAATATATTTATTAAATATTCATAAATTTTAACTATTTTTAATTAAATAATTAAAACTTTTTAATAACAAAAACATTAGAAAAAATTCTAAATATTACTAACCTCAAAAACCTTCCCAATCTTCAAACGTATAGTTCCCTTGCACTTTCAATGTGATTTTAAATATGTACTTTCACCGTGATTTTCAATGCCCCATTTCACACTTTATATAGTAACATTTGGCTGGATAAAAGGGTTCAGCCGCAAGGGAGGGACCAGCAGGTAAAAAGAAATGAAATGCTTTTCGTCTGAATTATAGATGAATTAGGGACCCTTTTCGTCTCATTTACAGATGAAATAATTAGATTTAACCATGTGTTCAGATCTTATGATTTCGTCCTAAATTGAGACGAATTACTAGTTTCTTGACACATGTCCATCCTTTCGCCTCTCACATATACGAAATGCATGACAGATGTCAATATTTACCGTATTTTGTCCCTCTTTTAGACGAAATGAATAAATTTAAAATAAATAATTTCGTCTGATTGATATACGAAATCAGAGTTGACGTAGCCAAAAAATACCCTAGACAGGGAATAAGTTTTAATTTTGTTTTAATTTGATAATTATTTTTTAAAAATGTATTATTTTAATCTTTAAGCCCTTTATGTGACTTCCATTGGGTATTATTAGTTTGAAACAAAACAAAAATTATCAACTCTAAAGTTTTGAAATTCAGTGAAAAAAACAATTGATTTTACGTTGAATTTGCATATTGATGCATAAGCTTTGTTTTACAGCATCAATTAAACGTAAGTTTATTTAATATTTAATGTAATGTTAAAGACACATATAATGCATATTTGTTTTTGCAATGACTAATTGTACATGCATATTCATAAAACAAAAATTAC